AGACTTTGCAATAAACCAATCGTACCTTTTTTTATCTTCTATTTATCAGAGCTATCATATGAACATACTACTTTATTTTATCTTAATATTTCTACCTTTGAATCTATTTATGAAAATAAATGATAGTTAGTTACTTGTTTTTTAAAAATGGTTTTACCCGATGTAGTGAACAAAGCGATGCCTTCACAATCATCCTCTTACTCACATTCTTATAATACCTAAGTGGTTCATGCTTTCATCAATGATGCCATCCTCAACATTACTCATTATTGATTAATTTAGCGGACCATATATGACAACAAGATGATTCACCAACTTTAAGTTTGTTAGGAACTTGAAAAAAACCCGTCGATATTTGCAGACTTATTCACAGTAACTTGTGTAGGAATCTGAACAAAAATAATACACTTGCACAATTTTCTCCTCAGCAACTAGTTCATTGGAATAAATTTCATCTGGAACAGACGCGACAAACATATATAATATATCCACAGCAGGCAAGAGCTGCAAATTTATAAAACAATACAAACCACAATCTCTAACTAGTTCGACGCTGCAACTTTACAACTCAAGGTATCTTGCGGACTATTCCAAAGTTCCACAAGGAGAAAGTATGATCAACAACAATTACTTGTTGACAGATAAAAATGAATGGATATAAAGTAATCTGAATTCAATTTCAACCGAAGCAAGGACTCAATTGTAGAACAAACTGAACTGTGTCAATTATTTATCCCAATTAGAGCAAACTGACGCTCAAAGCCCTGTCATCTAGGCTGGCGCACTATTTCAATTTAGACCCTATGGTCGAGAGACCTAAACCTGCACCAAGGATAATAAATAATAACAAATATAGTGGTCCTCTCAGCTCGTTGGAGCTTGATCAAATTCTTAGATGATCTGACAGTGTAGGATATCAATATTTTATAAAAAAAACTTTAAATTTCATGCTTTGTAACATCATACATTAAATTAATACAATAGTCAAAAGAAAATTGCTTACAAAATTGACAAGTTTATCTATTGTGCCAAGAAGGCAAATATGTATATAGACAATCGAGATATAATATTATATCATTTGACGTGTTGCATAATCCATTCCACTGTGTTGACATTGATAGTATATGAAAAAAACTACAAATGTTGAAGCGGGGATAAACTCTTTCCCATATACATAGAGGGCTTATTGCCTACCATTCTTACTCCATCCCTTTTCCTTCATCTTCGTTCCAAATCCAATTCTAAAAATCACTAACCATAAGAGGAAGCCCTTCTCTTAGCGAGACTTTTGGCTCCCAATTCAGCAGTTCCTTTGCTTTACTGATGTCTGGTTTCCTCATATGGGGATCATCTGCCATATTTGGTTTGTATTCTATAGTAGCACTTGGATCAATTATGTCCTTGACAACCTGGGTATTTATGAAAAGATGACAACTAGAGTATACCAATAAAAATAATAACTTATGTCTCCGTCCTCTCCTCCTTCCCCTCAATACTCATACTGAGGAGTAACTGTAACTGAATAGAGCGTTTTCAGTTTCATGCAATGCATGGGACACATCTCTAGTTAAGCTAAAAAAATGAAAAAAAGAGAGGCCAAGAAGAAGACAATACCTGAGCAAGTTCTAACATGGTGAACTCTCCTGGATTACCCAGGTTAAAAGGTCCAACATGCTCACCTTCCATCAACGCCACCAGCCTATCAACCTGTAAGTCAAAAAAAATTGGCTTTCAGTTGTATCATTACAGAGCAGCATAGATATTCACAAGTATTGGCCAAATAAAAATATTCTCATATGAAGCAAATCCCCAAAGTACTTCGTTGATATTAACTTGTCTAGCTTAAAATCTTTACATTCTTCTTTTGACCAACCACAATCTTTACATTCTGAAATCAAATTTCTATCATACAAAAATTATAGGAAACAGAAAACAAATTTCAGTTAACCTTCCAAAAGCTATTTTTCTTTGCTTTACGAATTCTCTCTATTATTTATAAAAGTCCATTTTCACTTGAATGGTCATCCTATTAGGTATCAAAATATTTTTTGACAAGATAAGCAGGTCATAAAAACTCAAGTATTTTTTATAAGAAAGTTAGGAAATTTTGTCCCTGAAATTTTAGGTAAATGGTTATCAATTTTCACAATATTTGTAAATATTTCTGGGACATATTTCATTAAAAGTAGTATCCTCAACCAATGTATATTTAATATAATTTCTTCTGAAAAGCAAGGTCCATCTAGGTTTCTTTAAAACTCCAAGTCATGTCTAATAGGCTATTTTTCAAATGCAGTGCTCAACAGTTAAAACTTGACCTAGCGAATGGATTCTTTTTGCCAACCATAAACCTGTGCTAAACAAGTGGTATGCATGACCGATAGCACAAATAAAAAAGATTCAGAAATATGTAAAGTTTCAAAAAAAGAGTTTAGACAGCTATACCAAATCAGACACATATTGGAAGCTTTTATTTTGCTTCCCATCACCATATACAATCTTTGGTTGTTTGCAAATTGCTTGGAAACATGGACATAAAGGTATGAGGCATAATAACCCCCTCTAAGGCCCAGAGAAACACAAGAATGAGAGAGGAGCCAAACCTGTGCAACAAAATTTCTTGCTACATGACCATCATCTAAACACATCCGAGGTCCATATGTGTTAAAAATTCTAGCAATTCAAACCTAATAACCAACAAGACTCGTTTCAGTCTCAATATAAAATGAGATCACAAAATGCCAAACAAGTTACTCACACATGAGTAATAAGACAAATTTAGGAGCTTCATTAATGATGATCAGAATATTTTGGCAACTCTTCACTATCTTTATTCTTCAACAATGACTCTCCCTATATTAAAAAGGGTCAGTACAGGATTTTTATGCTACCAACACAATCACTTCTAGTCTTAAGAACTCAGCCTCTTTCCCATGGCCATGAGCGAAAATAGTATTGATCAGAATGATTATATCACCATTTGAATACAGTGGATACAATATACAATAGTGGGAGTTTAACAAGTTGTAAGTCACTTAAGCATACTGAGTTTTTCAGCTCATTAGTTACATCTCACTTTAATTTTCGAGGAGAACTAATCGTCTGAAGAATTATTGGATTGATAAATAAAGCATCATGAGTAGAATAGGCAAGAGCGCAATGACAAAACAAGATGCACCCATATTCTAAGTATCGTAATGGTATAGTATAGCAGCGTAGAACTTCTTAGCCAATACCCAATAACATAGACATCAACGTAGATAACTTAAAATAGCCAGTTAGGCACAGATTGATTATATAAGCTACCTTAACTCCAACACCTTGATGATAATCCATTGACAAGGTTTCTGCAGTCCACTTTCCTTCATTATAACAGCTCCTGTCACCTAAAATTTTCATGTATTTTCAAACTATTGAACCACAATACATACGTCATGTATGACTATAGTACAAGAAAACTTTAAATCTCTTTACATTTAGAAGCCTACCTATTAGATTTACATTCCCCTAGTAAGTCTCCTTTTGGGGATGCTCAAGTGGATCACCGTAAACCTCACTAGTACTAGTAAGAAGGAACCTTGCACCAATCCTCTTCGCGAGTCCCAGCATATTAAGGGTGCCCATCACGTTTGTCTTGTGAGTCCTATGTAGTTAAGGGTCTCAAAATAACAGTAGGATGAAATCCAGCCAATCTCAAATTTTGAGTTTAAAACACTATAATTGAGTGAATATGAAAAAAAATTATGCCCATCACCGATCAATAATGATTTAAAGATGAAGGATATAATGGTCTTGATGGGATTATACTTGTAATGCACAGGCAAAGTAGGGCAAGCCAAGTGATAGATTTGATCGACTTATAAGAGAATTGGTTTAACCACATCATGATGAATGAGCTCAAATCGTGGGTTCCCAAATAGGTGTACCAAATTTTCCTTCCTCCCGGTGAAAAAATTATCGATCACAATGACATCATTTCCCCTGGCAATAAGCTTGTCAATGAGGTGACTTCCTATGAAACCTGCCCCTCCAGTAACCGTAATCCTTGAACGCCGGTGACTGAGTACGACTGGGACTCTCCCCACTTTGCCTCCCAGCCCATAACATGAACTGGAAACCTCATCATGTCACATCAAGCTCGTAGAGAAGGATCTGGGAATGAAGGGATGGGATTCAGATGGGGAAAGATGAGAGAGGGTGGGTTAAATGATGAAAAATGTGGAGCCAATAAAAATACGCACCAAGATAAAGAGAAGCCTTTGTTCTTTCAATAGATAGTTCATCAATTTGGGAAGGGATCTAGGATGTTTAAGGGTTTTGGGTGAATATGGTGGCTCTGTCTGTGCACCCAGCATCTCTTCGTCCTGTCTATGATTTAAGCTAGTTTACTTGTATGGCTGCTTCATATTTTAAGAATCGGTATTTAACTACACAGTTTCTGAGCGTTGAAAATAACGAGAAAGTGAAAAGAGGGACTTGGAATGTGGGTGCAGATGTGAGCATTGGAGAACGAGTTTGTCACACTAAATGGGCCTTAAACTTAGAGCTTCTATTCTTGTTTCAAAAAATCTTATTTATTTGAGCAACAAGCAAAATGAGAAAGGGAGAGGATGTTTGTTGAATGATAGTTACGGTGGAAAAGAAAAGGCATAAATGCAAAGGAAATCAACCCCACCAAAACCATTAGCTGCTTCTGAGTCTGAGATCCAACATTGGATTGCCCATAGGCTTTTGATGCCTAATTGGCTTGTTAGTAAGGCGTAAGACCTAATTCATCAAAATTTGTCAAATCTAATTATGTGCATGCTGCTCATAATGCACTCACTGACTCATATAATGGTAAAATTTTACTAAAAACAAGCACTTCAACGTTTATGATTTAAAGTAAATAAATATATAAATATGTTAAACGTAAATCACATCTACTGCTATTAACAAGGGGCCGAGTAATGTGACCATTTTCGCCCATGAAATGTGTAGCCCAAATAAGGCTATCGTAGGCCCGTTTTGTTCACAGACCAGAAAACGGGCGGCCCCTTGTTTATCAGGGTTCGTCCTTCCCCTATCCCGCCTCTGATGGTATTAGGGTTTCAAGTGTCGGGAGTACCATACCTGCTTTTCACCGGAGAAAATGGGTAAGTCCTTCGCCGAAATAATTTCAAATTTGGGTTATATATTCTTAACTTTTCCATTCGAAATCTGAACTTTTGGATTGGATCTGCATTGTATATTGACGGCATTGAAGCGAGGATAAAGGTGCACGAGTTGAGGAATAAAACAAAGGCAGAGCTACTCAGCCAGTTGAAGGATCTCAAGGCAGAGCTCGCTCTACTTCGAGTCGCCAAGGTCACCGGCGGTGCCCCTAACAAGCTCTCTAAGATGTAATAATCCTCTGTTCTGTATACAAGTCTTATGGCACTTCTAATGTTAAAATTTATGAACTGATTGGGAGAAACGGTTGTTTGGTGACTTTGCAGTAAGGTGGTGAGGCTGTCAATAGCGCAGGTGTTGACTGTTATTTCCCAGAAGCAGAAAGCGGCTCTGAGAGAGGCTTACAAAAACAAGAAGTATTTGCCTCTTGATCTCCGTCCCAAGAAGACCCGAGCCATTCGCAGGCGCCTCACAAAACACCAGGTTTTATTTATTCTATATTGTAGTTTGTGCATTTTCTGACTTCCTTTGTAATTTGTTTGTTTGTTTGAAAGGTTGCATTATTAATTTGTGGAGCAACTGGTTGATGACAAACTTTAAAAGATAAAAAATAACTTTGTTATATGCCTATGATATGATATTCTTAGAACGTTAGATGAGTCGAAAAGTTTGCATTTTTCAAACTTAGATGTCGAATTATGATTTCTGCTTTTGGGTTATATAGGGCATGATAACGACTAGCTTACGAGCATGATAATTTCTTGGTATTTATGTTTAAAGAACGTGGTACAAGAGGTTGAGTTCTGTTAGTTTTTATGGGCTTTTTTCTTATATTTCGTACGTCTTAAAATTTATTTATTTATTTATTTTTTGTGTTGGATTGATTCAAGATATTTTAGTCTCGTAATGGAGAATCTTTGAGAAGTCTTTGATGATTGGTTAGGATAGGATTGATTTAAGCCATTTTAGTCTCGTAATGGAGAATCTTAGAGGCCCTCTGTATGAGAGGATCTGAGGGTAGAATGGATTTGTATCATTGATCATAAATATTTCGTTTTAATAAATTATTCCTGGGGATTGGGTACATAATGTGACAGTCTAGTTTCATGGTGTCGTTAAAGCAGTGATGTAGAGTTCTTCTAGTTGATGTAAGTGCTGATGTCTGAGAAGACCGAATTCAATTTCACAACTTGTATGAGAGCGCTTGGGGAGCAATTCCTTTATTCACAGAAGCACGGCACAGAATATTGTCTCTAAGGAACCAAATTCAAACTTCCTATGTTGGATGGCAAGGCAACAATAAAACATTAAAACTACAGCCACCCATATGGGTTTATTTCAACATTCTATCTAACAAAGAAACTTGCCCATATACTATTTCCATGGTAGTTCAGGTTCAAATAACCCTAACAAACCTTCCAAACCAACCATATAAAACTAAAAAATAAAACTTACGAAGTCAAGAAGCTGGAAGAAAGTTGGGCGATTTTGCACAGATATGACTTGGTTAGAGGCAAAATGAGTACCAATACCCCTGGATAAGGTAGTCCTATCGGCTGCTGCTTGATTGATCAAGTTGTCCACATCAACATCTGTATGAGAGCCCTTGGGTAGCGATTCCTTTATTAACAGAAGCATTTATGGAATCTGAAAAATGGGCTAAAGTAATTAGGTTATTGAGGTTTGGCTAATTGTCAAGGCAGAATTTTTACCCTCAGCTTTGATTGACATCATTTTCTTGTCTCGTTATTAAAAAAAATTCCATTACTTCATTCAATTCTTGAATGAAATAATCAATCGTTTGTCTGCAGGGATGGTTTTTTTTTTTTTTTTCCATTTGTTTAACTTGTACAAATCTTGTTTGGAAATTGGAAAATACTTGTTTGTTTAAACCATAGTTGAATTGGTTGAAAGTTCTTGGCTTGCTTGATCTGCACTCTTTTACCCCCGGTTTACTAATGCCCATGCTCTTATAAATGTGGTTTATCTTAAACTGTTCTCCCAATTTGGCGGGTGTAGGCATCATTGAAGACAGAGCGTGAAAATAAGAAGGAGATGTACTTTCCATTGAGGAAGTATGCCATCAAAGTGTAGGGTAATCCATTCTCTAGACCAGTCAAGTTCATGTATTGAATATTAGGTTCGGATGCTGCCATTCGATGGGCATTCTAATTTTTCAAGCCCTCTATTTTTCTTTGACGTCCCTGTATGCTGCTTCACATTATAATTTCCAAAAGTTATCAAATTACAAAGATCTTGCTTAGAAATTATTCTTGTGTGCGTGGATGGCAGTGATTTATTAGTTTTTTGCAATGCTTGTTAATTTGGTAATTTCATTTTGCCATTGAACTTGGCTTTGCGTCCAGATTTTGGTTTCGGTTTCATGTGGATCTGGACTCCTTTGGTTGAGAGAATATTCGTTGCATAGAAAGGATGCCATGTTTTTAAGGGAGCTCCGAAAGAATAAAAACAATTAGGTTTTTGATGTATGTATGTATGTATGTATGTATGTATTTTTTTTTAGTATGTTGTAAACTAAATATGGATTTTTATTGATTAATAATTTGTTCGAGTTTCAATTCAAATTTTTTATTTATAACTATTTGAATTGATTTTTAAAACTCATTTTTTAATATTATTAGGATTTAACAGTTAATTTAATTTTTGGAGTTTTTATTGTTATTCCTCCTATTTCCTCACCACCTGTTCAGAAGCAGCGTCCGACGACGGCTCTCTTCCATCCCGTCACTTGTTCCCCAAAAGACAAAGCGTTGTCCGTCAAGCCTATGCGCTTACACGCATATGAACAAAGCAGTTTTTAGGGCTATTCTATTCAACCATATTGTGGAATCCAATATCACGGCGTTGTTCTGTCCATTTTTTAGTAATAAGTTGACTTTTGAAATACGTCTTCTATACAATGCCCCCTACTGTTAAGAATTGTCAATAAAGAGTAGGTAATGCAAACTCGTTCTGGCGTTTCCCAAATATTTTAAAGGCACCATCGATCGTCTCCAAATCATCGTTCATGTTTCCCAAATATTCTTCTCAAATCTCAATTATTCTGCGACTTTAACTTTGATTTGGGCAGGTGCCGTTGCAACTTTCCTGCCTCTTGGGGCTCTTTTCCGTTCTCTGGTTTCATCAGTTATTATTACCTTCTCCGCCTCTTAACCTGTATCAATCGCTAATCGCATCATCCTTTGAAAATTCCTATTTCTCCTTCCCATTTTATTACTTCCCTTCAGGAACCTTACGACGACTTCATTTTCAGGTTCGCACGTGCCCAAGTGGAAATTCAAGTTTCATTATGACTTTAATTTCCTCGCCGCGATACGCTGAGTTATGTTTTCAACATCCACGAAGGCGTTGCCACACGGCCCCCGCCAGAGATAAATACGTAGCCAAGCAAACTATGCATGCTTCCATCAATGTCAATCTTCTAACTACACAAATAATTGTATTTAAAGTTAGTCCTGCTGATAAGAAGTTACTCCCTCTTGTCCTTGTTAAAAGATAATTTCAATCATTTTATGAATTTTAAAAAAAGTTAATTTTTTTATATCTTAAAAAATGTTAAAATGTATAAGATCACTCTGAACTTTGAGGCAACTGCATATAATTTTTTTTATTATTCAATATTTAAAATTAACCTCCTAACTTTTATTTTGATTTTATTTTTCAAAACCCCCTACTATAAATTAATTATTATTTTATTAATATAGTTATTGTCATATCATATTAATGCAATACACATGACACATGACATAAAAAATATTTTTATTATTTTTTAACACAATTTAAGAAGAGGTACGATTATAATTTTTATTTTTAACACACAATGATTCTCTTTTTTTTAAGTTGAGTGATATTATTTTCATTGTTCACAGGTAATATGGTTTAAGAAAAAAATTGTCATTTTATTATTTTTATCAATTAAAATAGCCTTTTTATATTAAACAAGCAAAAAAAAAATATCTGAAATATTTAAAAACAGGTAACAAAATTTTTATGGTTCTTATCAATGATAATTTTTATATATTTTTCTTTTCACTTGTCTAATATAAAAGGCTATTTTAATTAATAACAAAACAATAATTATAATTTTTAAAATTATTTTACCTGTAAATAATGAGAACAATATTGCTCAAATGAAAAATCATTGTGTGTGTTACAAATAAAAATTACAATTTCACCCTTGCTTAAATTGTGTTAAAAATAATAAAAATATTTTTTTTCAAGTCATGTGCCATGTGTATTGTGTTAATATGACATGGCGATAACTATATTAATAAAATAATAGTTACTTAATGCCAATGGTAGGGGGTTTTGGAAAAAAAAATAAAAGTTCATGAGGGTTAATTTTAAACATTGAATGATGAGAGGGGTCATTTGCAATTTAAAGGGGTTATATACATTTTAGCCTAAAAAAAAAATGAGATGTACTTCTTTTTTATCCTTAACTTTTAATAATGATATGACTATATTAAATACTTTGACGTTAATAAAAAATTATAAAATTAGAAAAAGTAGTTTAAATATCACAAGATTACCTATATTTTAAATTAAAAATTACTTCTAAAAGGTGATTTACAAATAAGATCAGAGGGAGTAGCTCATAACTCATAAGGTCGTGAGATTAAATCTCATTATTGATGTGAGGACCTTGTTAGTGGATAATTTGTAAATGCTCTAAGAGTTTGTGAAACATGCATCTACTTTTGATTATAAAAAGAGAGCGAAATGAAAATTATAATTATGTAAAGATGAAAGTTGAATTTATCATAACTTGTTTTATTTTTCAAGGGGTGAAGGTGTATTTTTGCCTTTGAAGTATTCTATAAGGGGTGACTAGCCTTAAACTATTTGGTGTAATATTTTCACCCTCTAAAGTAATTAAAAACTAGCATTCTCCACTTGATATTAAATACTCACGAACAAATATTATCCATTAGTTAGTACAACTATTTTCTCTCATGACATATTAATGGTCAATATCAATTATTTAACATTGGGGTAGAAAATTCCACATTTTAACTACTTTAAGAATAAAGATGCTACATTAAATAATTTAGAGTACTAAATACATTTTGAAAAATACTTCAAGCACAAAGTACGCCTTTACTCTCTTTTAAAATTATTTGGGTTAAAATCTAATTTTGGCCTTAAGCCTAATTATTTGGGCTAACAATAATAATTTTAGCCCAAGTCCGTCCAAGTTTTTAAAAAGGAGAAGGTTATGAGAAAATTTGATCAAACAATACACCATTAAGTGGAAGCAGAGGAAGTTTTGATAAAAAAATTGCAATTATTTATCTAAAAGAGCATGAACTATGGAAAAAATTGACAATTGGTGAAGCCACACACACAATGACTCAAACTCTTTAACTTTTCAGCTCTACAAAATATTTTTTCAACAATTCTAATTGCTTAATGCAAAACTCATATTGACCCTGCATCATTCTTTACTTCTTCACCCAGTGTGACTCCTTTTATCTTTTAACAGATCTGACACAATGCCCTTAGCTTGCATCCAACAAAGAACACTGAAATTTTCCAACAACTAATAGAGCACCAACTCTTAGCAGAACAATAATAATAGTGAGCCAATACTTTTCCTTTTAGTTGTTCATCTTTTATTTGTTGTAATTTCCTTTTTATCCTCATCAATACCATGTTTGCTTTTAATATGCAAGTCTTGCACGTTTCTCTATATTTATTTCTAAATTTGCTTTATTGTTAAATACTTCTATTCAAGAAAATTGTAATAAAGGACCTATGATATCATCATTTGATTTTTTTTTTTTTGAATAATAGCTGGACGCTTCATTCAAAAGAATGGAAGCCAAAGGAACATACACAAAGACAAGTTAAGACTGACAAAAACAAAATCAAAAAATCCACCCAACAAAACAAGCTAGCCAGGAGAATGGTCAAACAAGTTATAAACATTCGGAAGATCAAAGGCCAACACTCACCTTTTGATTTTAGAAGTAAAAAAAACATGGCACTTTTTGAGTACAAAAACACCAACAACAAAAAATATATAATTTTTTATTTTTTTCGGATCAAACTGACATGCATTCGTAAAATGAAAATTACAAGAAGACAAATCAATTATCGTTCACCTCCTCCTGATAAGAAAGGGGGAGAATGATCAAATTCATAATTTTTGATTGTTTAATACGAAAATGGAAGGGTCTTTAATGGAAGCGTTCTTCGACACGTAATTGACCTTAGCCAGTTCATGCCATGCCGCGCGATGGCAAGCAGGCAAGTTGCTGCCAGTCAGAAGTGCATAATTAATCTTACGATTTCAGATTTCTCATTTGATTTAATGTCGTGTTGAACGATCACGTCCATTGAGCAGCTGTGTGCGCCTTTCTGAAAAATTTTTACTTTTTTTTTTTTGAGATTATCTTTCTCGAAATATTGAAGGCAAATAAACTTATTAATATTTGAATTAATTCTCGTCAAGAGATTTCAGTTTCTGGGAATTCGCCGTTTCCTTCCTGCAATTTGATGTAATTGTGTATACTTTTTTATACGCACGTTGAAACTATCAATTGCTTCAATGGTTGGGAGCCGACTATTGAGAATATGGACGTGTGTACACTGATAATTTAATTTGCTGGTCTTTTCTTCTTCTTCTTCTGTTTGGAGAGGATAAGTCAAGCTTGACTTGCGAATTGACCTTGAAAGCTTAATTTTAATTTATCTCCTCAAGACCTCAACGATGAGATTACAATATGAGATGAGACTTAAAATTTACAAAGAGAATCTTTTCGAACATGGTTAATGTAAGATGAGTCACGAGAGCATGTTAATTAACGGTTCACGAATTTAAAATGGTCTGGTTTAGATAAAAATAATAATATTGTATAAAACCGCGCAAAAATGTATAAATTTCGGAATTGATCACTAGAAGAATTAAAATTTAATTGTTTAATAATATGTTCATTTCTTCCGAGTTAAATCACGCCGTAATAGTTGACGGCCTGTGATTATTTGCCAGTCCTGATTATAATGATCACGATAGAAAGTCGATATCAAGTGCCTTTTAAAATTGCCCGATTGTTAAATGTTTTCCCCAGTTTCTTCAATTGATACCCGTAGATTTTTTTACGCCCACGTAGAATACATTGAATACAATCCCAAATCTACGAATACAGAAACAAATATCTAACCTTGGGTTAATTAGTATATTAGTTGGATCAAAAAGTCTCTCAATTTTAAGGCTTGCCTGTCCCCAAAGAGACCTTTCATTGTG